CTGACGTGCTTGCGTGCGTGCATGCGTGCACGTTGCGTGTACGCCATGTTTACGCAATGCCGGTCGACCCGCGCTCCGCTCCTCCACCTCTTCCTTTCATCGTTACTTCCTCTGCTCCCCTCCCCCCCTTCCCTCCCTTTGTCGCGACAGCCAAGCAGGTCATCGAATTTCTAAAGGCGAATTTCTCTCGCGCGCGGCAGACGGTCCCGTCCGAAAGAGACCCGTGGTTGCGTGGAACGACAAACTGCTTCTTTAAGCGACGTATACCTCGTCAGCCTACCTGAATATCTTTTTTTTTTTTACCTCACGAAGTCGTTAACCGCACTTCCCCTCGCTCTCCGTTGAATTGTGCGATATTTCGGGTCACGATGATTATACAGACTCTTTAGGAAGTCGTCCTTCTCAAGAGGGCAGGCTTAACATTTAATTCTTAAAACCGATGCCGAGTATGGCGATTATTCGAGCACACATGTTTACACATTTTTCTTGATTCACACTCGTACAAAACATACATATACATTTTTTTACATATCTGATGTTTGTAAATCGATTAGTGCAGATACACACAAGAGGGTCAATTTCTTTTTTCGCAGCTTAATTTAATATCGCAAATATTTTTTCCTTTTATTTAGACATTATTTAGACATTTATCTTCTAATAGAATTTTCTGATGGCAATAAATAATTGATCTTGTATAGCTAATTAACAGATAATTTACATCGGTTATTTTGAATGATGTCCTTTTGTAGAAAATATTTAGAAATCGGGAGAAAGATCTTGAAGAGAGGGAAATAAAATAGGAAGCCAATTTCACAAACGGGAGAGTCGAATATAGATATCATGTGATATTTTGACGATTGAACTTAGCATTTTATAACCAACAGTTGTTGGAGAATTTTATTCTTTGACTGACACCCCAATCTTGCCAAAAGAGGGATACTGTTTGAACTTCTTTTATTCTTTGCAAAATGAAGGGGAGAAGAAGAAGAAGAAAGAAGAAACGTGTCACGTTAATTTAATTACATCATGTTGATTTAACTTAGAATATGATTAGTGATTGGATATAAATTATTCATTTGACCTAATTTATCGGGCGAACGAAAAGCGCACTTTAACATTTTGCATGCATGCCATTACGATGGACGTTCGTAATTGAACAAACAATTACTCTCGACTAATCTCGATTTTCCTATTTTTTTCTGTTGCAGAACGCCAGCATGCCCCCAACAGACTGTCTGCGTAAGTAAAACATCACCTTCATGTTAAACATTTCCTTACGTGGCCTTTTTGCACAAAGTGCTCTCGTAAATATACTTTATCTGTCCCCGTTTCTGCGATCGACTTTACACGTATTTAAAAACATTATTTAGTTTCGTATACGTTTATAACAAACGCGCGCGCGCGCATACGATTAATTATGTATTCGAGTCGAGCAATCGATAACTTTTGTTCTTAGTCTCTTCGTGTGCGTGCGTGTGCGTGTGATTTCTTTCTTTAATATCGCGACGTTTAAATAGGTAACAACGTATCGCGCGGAGAGAAGCGAGCCGCGCGGATATGATGGAATAAATATTAAAAAAAAAAAAAAAAAAAGACGACTGCAGGATGCGTCGACAAACATACCGGTTACATTGTAAACCGTAAAGTTTACTGCAGATTCTCGCGGGGGCTTTTAATTAAACCGTGCAGAGCGCGCCGCAATTTTTCGGGACGTTGATTATTTTGCCAAATATTTTGTTTTCCATCGCGTGCCTGCAAACACATCGTCGCGCGGTCTCCGCTGTTTACTCTTAAACAAGCGGACTTTAATCCACGCAAAAAGTGTCGCGAGAATTCGCGACTCGGAGAAATAAAATTACGAAGGCAGAAGCGAACGACGACGGCGGCGCACGGCTCCGGTGTTTCGTATCGGCGTTACGTGTTCGTGCGTAAAAAGGAAAAAAAAAAAAATGAGAGAACGGCGAGAAAGGCTCGCAAAGAGTTGGGAAAGGAACACACGCGACGACGAGGAAAGAGCCCGGGCAACACGTGGACGCCACTAATAAAGATGTTTCGAAGTTTCTCACGTGTCATGGGTTTCTTGCCTTCGCGGCGACGCACGGGTGGAACTTTCTTTTTCCTCCCGTAGACGAAGCACTTCGTACATTTTTATGACGGACTTACCGGGTCGTCTTACCCCATCGTCGCCTTTGTTCCATCGCTCCCTGAAATTCCCTCGTGAACTTTGAAACCTCCCATGGAGAAAAATTCGCGATTATGCGATATGTCTCTCTTACATCTATCTCGATTCGACAAATCTACTCGGTAAATATAAATAAATTGCAATATACATTTATTAATTTAATCGAATTCTATAAAAATTAAAAGCACTTTCCAGATTTGCCTAGTTTCCACTTTATTTATAGCTTCTTCAATCAGTGTAAGATAACTGTTCCTGGAAAACGATCGTAAGAGATAATAGCACTATCGTTACTACAGTAGTAACAAAGAGCTTATTCTCCGAGTCAACATTGTTTTTATCATTCTTTATCGGTTACGCGCGATTTAAACGAGCGCGTGTGCCGTCGCGGAAAGTATTGCCGTGCACGTGGTAGCGTGCTCGTAAATTGAATTCCACGATGCCGGTGGATTTTCGGAAGATGGGAATTGGCGCAATTCGTGTTGTGCGCGCGAACTTTCGTTGTTCGGAATCGAGGGCGTTTATGCCACCGCAGCATCACGAGTGGACGCGAGAGAAAGGGATTAACGAGCCGACACGAGGAGGGTAGGCAGGGCATGTCTCCCAGCGTCCCAACTCACATCCGTACACTCTTTAGGGCTTCGACCCTTCTAACGATCTCCCTCCTAATAACCGCCGTTCGCGCGCGCGCGCGCGCGCGCGCTCTCGCCTTGGAAAAGTGGGTCGCGGCATACTGGATGTGCCACACCGCGACTGTGGACGCCTTTTGCCTTTCCGTATTTTGCACGCCTCTCGAACCGTAGAATTTCAGTCGATCTTTCTCATTTGTACATGCCACGTGTCCCGAAAGGGGTGCATAATCGGCGCCCCGAGCGAAAATTATTTAATCGCCCGCCGGCTGTCGCGCCGGTCAACACCGGAAAATTAAAAGCGTTAATTGGTCCGCTAAATGCCGGTGTTTTCTTTGACAACACAAGAATGAATTGCCAGAGAATTAATCCCCAAATGAATTAATCAACGCGTTTCTTCAAAGGATTCCTTTCGCGCTTGCGCCTTTTCTCGCACCTTTTCCTAGAGTCGTTCTCGATGTTTTCCTCCGCGGAGGAATATCTTCCCTTTTCCCGGAGGCGTGATTGACGCGGGTAATTAAATTTCAGTTCCCTCAGGCTTACGAAAGGCGGGATAGAAAGGCGCAAATGTACTAAGAGTATCGTGAAAAATACCGCGCACGTTCCGTTCGCTTAGTTTGCAATATAATCAGTGACTCCGTGCGTTATCAGACGAGCACGCCTGTGGCCTTGCGCGATCCGATAACGCGCTGAAGTCACACTTAAACGAGCCGATAACGAGTTTCGGTTTTTTCGCGAACGTTCAATTTACTTCACAGTAGCGCGCGTGCGCGAACATTCCCTTGCACCTTTCCGATTTTGAGCGACATTAAATTTTTATTATTCTCGATTAATCGATTCTTTCTTCACAACTCGACGTTGTTCGTTTGACTCGCGCACTCGGAATCTCGAGTCTCCATCTTACGAAGAGGCGAGACTCGGTTTTCGGCTCTCGCTCTGGCGTGCGGATCGCGATTGCGGGACGCGATTGTTAATTAATAATTACTCTTTCCGTGCACGTTTACGTTCTGCCCGCCGCTCACACGCGCGAAATTTACGAGCGCGTCCGATCGCTCGATTATTTCGTGCCTCGTCGTGCCGCGTCTTCTGGCGCTCTCGGCGTGCACATTGTATATATCGCAAATCGCGATAACGGGCTATCGGGATACCTATCTGCGGTATGTGCGCGAGTTGCAGATGTAAGCAGCATCGTCGACATAGGAAACCGGCTGCGCGCGCCGCAGATCTCTCTCGCTATGGGGCTTTTCGCGCCCATACTTCGCCATTACCAGCGACGATGGTGCTTCCATTCAGGAATTCAAGCTTTACCTCAGGCTTTACCTGCCTTTACTTTCCTCAACATTTGACGCACGACAGCGTCAGGAGTTCTCCTTCGCGATGCGAGAGATAGGATCTACGCAGAAACGTATACGAGAATAAGAATTGATAATCATTAATGATTACATTTCAATGCATAATTCTGTCGGGGATTGAATTTCTCGAGTTTCGAAGAGTCTCTCAAGTTGTACGAATGTTGTACTAGTCGAGTCACATTAAGAACGACAAGTTACGACGTATGAATTGAGAGAGCTACGAGGTGTGAGTTATATATAAAAGACGCGCATTGCAATTTCGAGAAATCTCGCTGGTCGAATGGCAGAATGAAGAGGACATTCTCGCGGTTTATTGACGGTAAAACGAGGGAGAGCGAAGAACCAGAACTCGTTATTAGGACATTTAAGAATGACGAAGCACTTTATCGAATATTTATGTTCAACAGCCGAGAGTAGTCACGATTCGATCAAAGTTTAATTAAAATGCGGAAGAAATCGCATTTTGTTGGCAAGTCCAAAAATTTAGCCAGCTACAGATCCGAACGTAATTGGATCTACAAAATTATTATGTACGACATTCAAATTGGTTGCTAGAAGATCAAACACTCTTGCGATATTTGTTATATCTAGACATAGTTCTACGTAATAATTTTGATAATTTGAAATTAATAAAATTATTTTCAAATCTGTATCCAAATGTTTAGCTTGCCAGCCAAAATCCTGCCCTTTCCGTGAAGATTTAATTACGTTCACATAAAGATAGTTAAAACTATATATTTAAAAAAATAGAATATAATTTTTTTTTTTAATAAATGCGTCAATACATATGTTCTATTCCATTACATTACATTTTGTGATCTAATTGTTTCGAAGTTTTATTCAAGCGACGATTTATCGCCTGAGCTTTGTAAGGATTCTCTCCCCTCGTATTTTCTGAGCAGTCTTTAGCAGCATATACTCACGTCGATATCCTCTATAATGCAGCACGAACAGCACCGCGAGGGATCACCGATTATTCTTTGCAACTCGATCGCATCGCGACGTGTGAACGATGGAGACGGAGTGTAATTAGAAGAGCATACGCGCGCGTTGTCCGACTTTATCTCGCGAGAGTAATGAGAACGAGAGCTCGCCTCGCGCGCCTCAAATCGAAGATGCTGCACGGATAAAAGGAGGCAGAGAAAACCAGATTGCGAAATAAAATAAAAAAGGAGCACACGCGTCGCTCCTGACGCGACGCGACGCGACTCGACTTTTTCGCGACGACGACGACGACGACGACGACGACGACGACGAAGAGAATTCGCTTCAGATTAGAATCGCCGTCGGAGGAGTTTAATGTCGCTCGAGAAAATGCACGGCGGGTTACTCCGACGTACGAGGACGCGTTTTCAAGGATTATTCTTCGACACGCGAATAAATTGCCTGGCTATGTATATACGTCTCCTGTCTGCGACAGTATTAACTTGGAGATAGAATTATTTTCCCGCGTCTCGGAACGTGGAATTTGAAAAATTTCGGTATAGCCGCGCTAATAAAGAAATCTCCCAGGTGCTCCGTAATGTGCCCGAGGAATTTTATTTTATCACTTTTTCGCTTTGGTGCTTCATTCATATAATTTAATTTTACGTACAACGTTCTATCGCTTAAGATTCTACCTTGTCTCAGTCTCCTTGATCCGTATTAATTACAAACGAAAATATCTGCGCGGCGAGATACGCGTATATATCCGCGGAATATTTGCATCTTGTAATATCCAGCGTGTCTCGAAAACGTTGGAGGGAGGAGTTTTAAATTCCGTCACTTTACGGATTCGCGACGGGCGTATCTCGTGTTCCGCAAATTTTCATCCTGGCCATCAGCCGCGCGCGATACGCGCGATAATCTATTCCGCGGATCCATCCGTAGATTAAGGAGCCCGCTCTAAAGCAGGCAATCTCATTACGACGAACGCGAAAAGTGACGGGGCTCGAAATGGCCGAAACGGCGCAGGGGATTTCTCGGCGGATGGAAATGAGAAAGATGGAGAACCGCCGGCTGGCTCGCCTCGTCTCGCCTCGCCTCCGCTGGTTATGTGCTCCGGTGTTAACTAAGCCGCGGGATTAAATCGGATGAGAC